TAGGCTCTCGACTGGAGATGTTCTAAAGGCTCCGAGTACTAACCTCAAACCTCCATGGTAGATCGGGTCAAGCATTTTTTAAATAGGGTTTTTCTGGCTGAACGGTATATAAAATTACTGTAATCCAATTTTGATCTAATTAGGGATCTATACAATAATAACAGAGTGTTTCGATCTGCTCCCCATTTTGTGTGGGCTACCACGCGCAGTAGTTGTAATGTTTTGTTACATTTGGTTTTTAAGTATTTCAGGTGGGGAATAAATGTTAGTTTTTTGTCAAATATTACCCCCAGAAACTTGTATTCATCTACAACTGGGATCTCTGAACCGTCAAGTTTCAGCCTAGGGTCATTATGGAGTTTCCTTTTGTGACAAAAATGGACACATTTTGTTTTTGTTTTAGAGAACTTGAATCCATTTGTCGTTGCCCATCTGCTGATTTTATTTAGACCCTGTTGCAGTTTTCGTTCGATTGTGTGGATATATTTTGATTTATAACATATCATAAGGTCATCCACATATAGTGATCCATCGGTTCCTGGTGGTATTTCCTCGATCATAGTGTTTATTTTTATGTTAAATAGTGTTACGGACAATATACTGCCTTGTGGGACACCCTCTTCCTGATTTTTCACATCTGAAAGTGTAGAGTCGACACGAACTGAATTTTCTTTCAGATAAGAATCCATCAATAAACTGTGGCAATCTACCCTTTATACCCAGGTTACTCAAGTCCCTCATTACTCCATATTTCCACGTCGTATCATAAGCCTTTTCTAGATCGAAAAATATAGCTGTAAGGTGTTCCTTTTTGATAAATGCTTCTCTAATATTTGTTTCAAGGCGTATTAATGGTCTATTGTGCCTCTTTTACTACGGAACCCACATTGTAAGTTGGAAATAAGATTGTTTGATTCCAAATGCCAAATCAACCTGTTGTTTATTATCCTTTCCATTGTTTTACACAAGCAACTGGTTAAAGAGATAGGTCGATAGTTTTGTGGGTCCAAGCCATCTCTTTTTGGTTTGGGAATTGGTATCATTGTTGTCTCTCTCCATATATCTGGGAACCTTCCTTCTGTCCATATTTTGTTAAATATTTTAAAAGGAATTTTAGTGATTCTTCTGGTAATTTTTTAATATATATATATATATATATATATATATATATATATATATATTTTACCTCTATCCCTGACTCATGTCGTACAATGTATCTCTGCCCTCTTGCCAACTCTAATATCTTTCTGTTATCAACGAGCGGAGTGGGACGTCTTCCGTGTTTTTTTCTTAGAATGAAGTTTTAATCATCCTGTTTCAAATGCGACTCTGAGGTCTCGTCCTGCGTGAAGACCAGCATCGATCCTTTCATTCAAACAAGGAAATACCTAGTTAATCCGCCTTTATTTCCTTGGTTCTCACCTGCATTCTCGGTCGCTATAGTCCACGGGAATCACTTCTCCCGAAAGTACCAAGGCAACACGTCTGATTGCAACAGACGTCTCTTTGGCCCTGCTCGTAATGAGGGAAACCCTGTCCTCAAAGAAGCAAAGTTGCTGTTTCCTGCTAGAATGAACCAACGTATAGTATCTCGCAAGTTCAGTTCTAGAGATTATTGGCAGCTCTGCAAGAGTGTGCTTAACAACAGCAACTTCTCAGTCCCTCCACTATTCAATCAATTCAAACGCCTGGCATTTACTGCAGACACGGTTGAATGCTTTGCTCGGTAATTCTCTTCCAACTCAACACTTCCCTCATTTGGAGTACCCACACCTGATTTCCATAATAAGACAGGGGTTCTACTGAGTGACATATGCATAACCTCGTCACAAGTCTCAGACATCATTTCTAAATTAGACTCCCATAAAGCAAGCAGAGGTGATGGGACCCAAGACGTCGTCCTAAAGAAATGTGTTCCTGAGCTTACTCTAGTCCTCTCCAAATTCCACGATTATTGCCTCTCGCTTCTTCCTGCTTTCAAGCTTGTTCGAAATCTTCGTCTGTATTATAAGTATTATTTTATTAAGAACTCTAGAGAACATTTTCAACCCACCAACTATCGCCCTATTAGCACCCCCACAGCTTTTCGGTGAAGTATTCGAGGCTTTAATCACTGCTAATGTGGTTAAGCATCTTACCTCTGACGACCTACTCTCTGACAAACAATATGGCTTCCGTTTTGCCATGTCTAGCGTTGTTGCACTAATGGCCATCACTGAATATGTTCTACGCTAACAATTTCTTTTCTCACACTTTCCCCTATGAGACTCCGTCCCGTTTCTTTCATTACCTGATAGTTACAATCTTCAAAAATTTCAATGCAATGTCAATCACCATCTTCTATGTCCTTGGATCCCGCTCAGCTTTCATCCTTTCCTCAGTCCCCCTATACCAAGTCTTTTTCTTACCTTCATTCTCTGTAACCCCCCTGGGTATCAGTGGCATTTCCACCTTGCTTGGGGTGAAATGATAATATTTATATATATATATATATATATATATATATATATATATATATATATATATATATATATATATATATATATATATATATTTTATATATATATATATATATATATATATATATGTTGTGGAGTGATTTCACAGTGTAGGCTTGTATTTGTACTAAGTCGGTCCTAAAATAGGTTCGACGTACAAAACGTTAGTAACTTGATATAATAGGTAATGACGCAGAGTAATCTAGTTGTGGTCGCTGATACTTTTAGTATTCGACTAACTGTCGTCCGACATCGACTGACTGACCGACTCACCGACCCCCACGTTACTTTTACTATCCCTACTTATTATAGATGGGAGAGTCTGTTAACTATAGAATAGGTGTGTTCCACTATAACAATATATATATACCGTGTGTAACAGCAAAATTGTCCAAATCGTGTAAGAGCATGGGAAAATTGTCCATCTCACAAAATGTTTAATATCTAAAAATCACTGAACTAATTGGTTTTTTTTTATCCAGGTTTTCACATAAGACGTTTAACCATCTTGACGCAATTTCTCGTAAGAATCACTGTAAACACTTTGAGTTATTCAGCTAGAAAGAGAAAATGTTAAATCGTTTTGTGTCAGCTACCGGTGAAGAGAAAATGTGTACAAATCTATCTATCTATCTATCTATCTATCTATATATATATATATATATATATATATATATATATATATATATATATATATATATATATAAGTGAGAGAGAGATAGAGGGAGTTAATATATTTATTTTAAAGAGTTAAAGTACTTATTTTTAATCCAACATTTTTATTAGTTCCAACGTTAATTTTTAATAGGTACCCGTGTTTGAAATTGTCGTCCCCTTTTATTTTAAAAGTGTCGCTAGATGTAATGTACACTGTTTAAATCAAAAATTGGTTTGTCTGTTTCAAACACCGGTATATATATATTAAAGACATTTTTATGTTTAACATTCTTTTTATTGATACAAGTATTTAAGTAAATGCTCTGTTTATAATAAACAGTATTAAATAACATTTACCGGCCTGAATGTCTGAGAAATTTTCATAGAAAATATTCGTCCTTTGACAGGATTCGAACCTGCATCCTATACGGAACCGTCATTTAGCTTATAAACTTCATTTGTTTGCATTTGATACGCCATGAGCAGTTATGAATGTACGAGATTCATGGAAGATTGAAGTTTCTAAGCAGTAAATTCGATCTTGCCAACCGAACGATCCTTTGTGGCCGAGAAGTTAGGCACGTCAAACTATTTACTTAGATACTTGTATCTATAAAAAGAATGTTAAACGTAAAAATGTATTTAATAAATTGTCGGACTTTGTCCATTTATTATATATATATATATATATATATATATATATATATATGACAAAGTGCAAACTTTCCGTGTAATGCGTTTCATCTTTGAAATGAACTTCATCAAATTTTAAAAATGAAATTGTATATCTTCATACGTTTTTTTTTTTTTTTTTTTGTTTTTGTTTTTGTTTTTTGTTTTTTTTTTACCAAGGTTACTTGCGCGTAAGTGAATATATCGAACACGAATGGAATTGCAACTCGGAGAGCCGAATTCTAACTCGGAGCTGTTTTCCACTACACAACCCGCCCATCCAAGCTTCCAGTCCTGTCGTCACCCATCTAGTAGCTTAATTTTGGTGATCGTCCCAGAACCGGTCTTCTAACGTGATATTGAGGTTAGCGTAACGACACTCGTATCAGTATTCATCAGATGAAAATAAAAAATCGCAGACGTTGTAAGTAATCCTTTTATCTGTCATAATCACTCACCCAAACACAATCTCTGGGCTTTACTTGTGCTGTAGTTTCAACCATAATATTTATTAAAAGGAAAATTAGATTAATATGAAATAGAATATTTTCTCTGGAAATATTTGACCGTATTGTACAACAGCTGAAAAAAAAAACATTACCACATAATTTATTCACCATTTCTATCACCATTCTCAATGTATCGTGTCTCTCCCTACTTTTGGTTTAATTAACAGAACCCCAAGCCCTGAACTTAATAAAGCTAAACGTAAATATTATTTACCTTCCTTCCTATCAAATTATTTATTTTTTAAAAAGACATTAGAAAATTTTCTACAAAAAAAAAAGAGTAAAATAAATCCAAAACTTTGAAAACGACTGCCATTGATAAAGATTTTAAGAATTTTCTGTAACTTTAGAATGATCAGTGTTAGTTTGTAAATTGCTTCATGTAAAACTTTTTTTGGGAAAAAAGTTTGGATTGGAGTCAATCGAAACAGGCCACCTACGAGCGATTACAGTTATTGCAAAGAAAGTTCTTCTCATTCTAGTGAGACTGGCCATAGCTGAGTGTCCAGCGCTTTTGTTGTATAGGATTCAAGTTAATTAAATGTTAACACATCGCTTATGCGTTGGATGACATTTTCTCTTGCAATAAAAAAAAATTAGGAGTAAAATATATTGACGACATAGAAAGATATATTTGAATAGACTGAGATAGATATAAACAGACTGAGATAGATAGATACATACATACATACATAGATACATATATAAGAACAAAGATAGATAGATAAATAGATAGATAGATAGATAGATAGGAACAGACTGAAATAGATTGAGATAAGTTAGATAGATAGGCAGAGACAGATAGCTACCAAACTAAGATAGATAGATAGATAGATAGATAAGAAGAGAGTGATATATATATATATATATATATATATATATATATATATATATATATATATATATATATATATATAAAATGAACATTGAAGTCAACACTCAGAGGCGACAGGCTGTTTCATGCAAGACGCAATCGTCAGGCTATATATATATATATATATATATATATATATATATATATATATGACTGTGTGTCTGTGTATGCGTGCGTATGTGCTTGTGTGTGTAATATATTGAGGTAGCTTTGATAGATAGATAGATATATAGGCAGAAACAGCTAGCTGATTAGCTAGATAGATAAGAGGGCGATATATATATATATACATATGTGTGTGTATGGAGAAAAGCCGTTTCGACGACAAGATTAAGTTATTTTCTAATATTAAATCTTTGTTGTGTAAAATAAATACGTTTTACAACATTAGTCTACGTATTTGTTGATATTCCGATGTATTTGATTCATATTGCTTCGTATAAACTTAGACAGGTATAAGTAAGTGGGTGGGCTGAAAAGTTCATAGGGTTACTATAAAGGAGTGATGCTAGAACTGTGAAATCTTGCATTCATTAGTTTCAATTCTTCTTATGAATAACTGCATTGCTTTTTTTCTCCAGGTAAACTGACATCTGACTGTTCAAAGAAGACAGTTCATCCTGTTGGTCAAAAAAAAGTCATCAACAGCAGATATGACGTCATCATCATCGCGATATTTGTACCCAACCATGTTGTTTTTTTCATGTTGGGGAACAGATGGTAGTCAAATCATGAGAATAGGGAAAATGATCAACCATTTTAAATCCACCAGAAAGTAGATAGGAATTAAAATGTATCACATGTCTATTGACTGGGAACCAATTGGGGATGTATAACTTGTGTATATTGAATAATATCTCAAATGATTGCATTTGCCATGAACAACATCTGATGAGTGAATAAACTCACCCAGATAATAATGTACTGACAATTTTGTATTTAATAGACACTATTTTTTAACATGCTTTAAACATAGGATAAGAAAGGAAAAATATAATCCTTTATAAAAAAAATAGGAAATAATCCAGTAGATATTAACAGTTACAAGGGTGGGCTGAAAAGTCCATAGGCTGATTATGAAGGAGTGATGCTAGAGCTGTGAAATCTTGCATGCATTAATTTCAGCTCTTCTTATTAATAACTGTATTGTTTCTTTTTGAGTAAACTGATATCTGACTGTTCAAAGAAGAATTCATAAATAAAGTAATTGAAAAGTAGCCATTTGGCTTCATGGTATTATTCCCTTGAAAAAATTCAGACTGATTTGGCTACCTTGGGGATGGTATTATCAAAAGTACCTACAAGAAAAGAGTATAGTTCTGGACATCCTGCAACTCTCAAAGAAATTCATATTAACATAATTGCCACATTAGAGAGTTGAGAATATTCTGCAATGAACTTGGCATGACCAGTTTTTATGAATGACTGTTCAAAAAAGCCACTTCTCTTGAAAATGTTCATTTTGTTGGTTAAAAAAATCATCAACAACAGATATGAAGTCAGCATCACTGCGATATTGGTTTCCAACATGTTTTTTTTTTTTCATAATGTTTGTTAGGCATTTATAAATATGGAGTATAGATATAATTTCTAATTATTACAAAACGTTATTTTTAGTGGGTAAACCTTCTTGCTTCACTATTCCTGCTTATTTTTTCTTCACTAGTGAAATTAATGGCAAATGGCCTAGACATAGAAGTCCTAGCAAATCCACGAGAAGTCAAGCCTGTGTCCGTTTTTGCCACAACGAGCAGCATAATATAGTCATCTATTCTGTCCTGAATATGTCAACACACGTCACGGGGATAAAAAAAATAATTAATATTAATCCTAGTGTATAATAGGAACACCTAATTTTTCAGCTTAAATGTCTGGAAAAAGTGCGTAATATACACGAATAATTTTGGCAATCTTCTTGAATATGTTATATGTGTGTATTTTATGCATATCTGACGATATGAGTGTCCCATTTAGCGCGTATGAATCTCCGTGTGAATAGGTGCGATTGGACAGTCTAGGGTGTCGCATGTGAGCTTATCAGTGCGTTATTTTATTACGTATTGTGTTTTCCCTTGTCTGCCTCGTGTTGGTTAGCGTTGATGAATCCAGTGACAAAAATAAGAAAATCGCTTTGTTATCGAACCGGTCTGTTTTTAATTTGCTGTGTGACCTTCCCAAATGGTTAATTCTAATGAAAATTTTATTATATTTTCAAGATTTTGCGAGAACTCAACATCTGTTCCCGCCTCTCGTTTTCCAGTTATTCTTACCGACATTCCCGCCCTGACCAACCAGCCGCTCTCTCACTTCGCTCTTTCTCCGTATTTATTCCTCGGACGCCTGTTCTCTTCGATTAAGGAAGAAGAAATCCCCCCTCTCTCTTTCTCTCTATGTGTGCCTCTCTCTCTCTCTTTCTCTCTCTCTCTCTCTTTCTCTCTCTCTCTCTTTCTCTCTTCTTCATTACTTCCTTTAATAACAGAATGTGAAGTAGATGGAATTGATCACGGTGATGTTAGTACTGGTGTAAGGCGTGGTCGTATGTATATTTTCAGGTAAAAAGTAGATTCAATTAGGAAGAAAACAGATGCACAGAGACACACATATTTAAGACAACATATGTGTACATTAATAATGGACTGCTGTAACACGTAAAATTAAACTCTGCATCACACATACTTGGACACACACACACACACATCTAAACGGCTAATTTGTAACAATATCAAAATAGTGTGTTTAATTCTCACGAAATCTTTGACTATTTTAGCGTTGTTCCGTTTTAAACTAGGCTTTTCGTTCAACACCACAAGATGCTACCTACAAAGCCAAAAACATTAACCTGAAAATTCGAGCCGTGTTCTTATATATCTAGAATGTCATATGAATACTGTATATGAGATCCAACTCGTTCAGAAACTATTATATATATATATACAACTTTCACAGATCATAGATTAAAATGACTTCAAGTGCATTTATATATATATATATATATATATATATATATATATATATATATATATATATATATATATATTAAAACAACAGACAAGGTTATATATATATATATATATATATATATATATATATATATTAAAAACAACAGACAAGGTACTACGGTTAAGCTTTTATTTAATTTTTCTTGTGTTCGAACAAGAGCTTTCTTTTCTGGACAAAGGGTGTGTAAGAACTGTCCAAATGTTTTATATTTCCGAGCGCTTTCGGCTATACCTTTAGCCATTATCCAGGATGATTCGATTTTTCTGTTTAATTGAGTGTGTGCGTTTTGTGTATGTCTTAGTGTGTGGTAGGGATGTTTCTAATTTCCGAATACGCTTAGCACATTGTGGCTTTGTTCGTAGTTAATATTGTTAAGTGTTGGCTTTTTCTTTTTTATTATTAAAGCTTCCATTATTTTTAGTCTTTTTTTTTTTTGCAGGTGGGTGCAGTTAATATATTTGTGTTTTCTACTAGTATGTTTCTAATGGAATCTGGTATATTTGTGTGTGAAAGCGCTCGGAAATATAAAACATTCTTCGCCCGTTTTTAATATGTCTGGTAATATCAAGCTTCACACTTTTATTTCCGTAATATATATATATATATATATATATTAAGAAATAGACAAAGTCCGACAATTTATTTATTAAAGACATTTTTATGTTTAACGTTCTTTTTTATAGATACAAGTATTTAAGTAAATGCTCTGTTTATAATAAACAGTATTAAATAACATTTACCGGCCTGAATGTCCGAGAAATTTTCATAGAAAATATTCGTCCTTTGACAGGATTCGAACCTGCATCCTATACGGAACCGTCATTTACGCTGACGTGCCTAACCTCTCGGCCACAAAGGAGCGTTCGGTAGGCAAGATTGAATTGACTGCTTATAAACTTCAAATTTCCATGAATCTCGTACATTCATAACTGCTCATGGCGTATCAAATGTAAACAAATGACGTCATATATTAAGAAATGGACAAAGTCCGACAATTTATTTATTAAAGACATTTTTATGTTTAACGTTCTTTTTTATAGATACAAGTATTTAAGTAAATGCTCTGTTTATAATAAACAGTATTTAATAACATTTACATTTGATACGCCAGAGCAGTTATGAATGTACAAGATTCATGGAAGATTTATGGCCGAGGCGGGTAAGGCACATCAGCGTAAATGACGGTTCCCTATAGGATGCAGGTTCGAATCCTGTCAAAATGAAAAATTTGAAAATTTCTCGGACATTCAGGCCGGTAAATGTTATTTAATACTGTTTATTATAAACAGAGCATTTACTTAAATACTTGTATCTATAAAAAGAACGTTAAACATAAAAATGTCTTTAATAAATATATATATATATATATAATGTAAATCTCGGTGGGTGAAAAACCTGGATAGCACAATTTTCAAATAAATTGGCATCCGAGATTAAAATGGAAAAAAATATGAAAGAACAAGAAACCTCTGAATAGGGCGAAAGAAATCGTCTAGTACCCTAAATTTCTGGTACAAAAAAAATGCCAGCGAGTAATAAGTTAAAACCTAGAGTGCTCAATACACTAAGTAGAGCAAAAGTAAAATAAATAAATCCTAATGAGTCAGATACTACCTACCTAGGTTTCACCACATGGGATCATTTAGTGAACTGGCTCACCCAGACGATCCCATGTGGTGAAACCTAGGTAGGTAGGCTGCCTACCATTTATTTATATATATATATATATATATATATATATATATATATATAATGATTACTTATCTCTTTTCTGACTTTTGTAGATCTTGGAATCCACTTATTAGGAGGTAAAATGTTTTATTTACTTTCACCCACTGTATTTTTTCTTGAAAGGAGCTAAGATATGGCATTAAAATCACTTGAATTTATATATCCTTAAAGAACTTTGTGACGTCATATTAATAGGAGGCACGGTGGTGTAATGGATAGCGAGTTCGAATTCCCGTCGAATTCATTACATTCACTTATGTGCTAACACCCTATGGACATACTGGGTTCTATAGCCTTGGATGGCAACTGGTCTAGAAGAAGGAAAACTCTGAATTCAAACCTGCTCTTAGAGGAGGGTGAATGGAGTCTCTCTGAGCCTTGGTTGGCAATCCATTTAGTGATGGTGTCACGATAAAAAACACCCTTGATAGCCCTAGCGAAGCATCAAGAATTCAGCTATTTCACAAGATTGTGAACTACACCAATCAAAGTATTAGTGAGTTCAATCTCGGCTGAGGCCGCAAGATGATTAATAGATAGATAGATATGAACAGACTAAGAAAATTATATCGACAGATTTACTAAGCTGTTTTTTTGATGTTTTGTTTAGATTTTTGTAATAAATTTTATCAATATAAATTAATTGCTAACGAGATTAAGCAGGATTAATCGATTTAATTCAAAAGAACGCCCGAGACATAAGACAATGATGTGCTTTCTCAATGAATTTACACAGCAAGGGGATCCTACCGGAAACGTAGGATAATACCCATAGGAAAGGTATGGATCATCTTCTTCAAATCCCCTCCCCCAGCTATTGGTTAATAGGAGGACAGACACGGTTCTGTAGACTTGGATGGCAACTGGTTTACCGCAAAAAGAAATGGCAATCTACTGCGGGAAAAATCTGGCTCGTCAGTCATGTATCGAAAGATATGTGATCGCTTAAGCGTTTATAACGCATGGCACCTAAGTGATTGGTGAATATTTTTAATTATTATATCCCCATTATTATATCATTCAACATTGTCTTAAACCAGGGAAAGCTGTTTTTAAGCATTTATAGGTTGCCTTTAATTTTTCTAAAACGTTAACAATTATCCACATCAGATACTGTCGATCTTGCCTGTGCCCATCGGGAAAAATCTAAGCAGATATTATCTGCTTGTTCTTTCAATATTTTTCAGCTACCTGTCAAATAAATTGGGGTGGATAACAATCAAGCTTTTTTTGAAATTGTTGCGGCTTCTAACGTGACACATGAGAACAATTTCCCCACCACTCATGAAGCCATGAGAATATACAAAAACAAGCAAATAGTTCTTTTTAGTCAGGTTGTCTGGTGTTCACAATTTGCTAAAATAGTGAACATCAAGAAAAACATCAGAAATATACAAAAAGATCACTAGCACGATTTTTACGTATTCTAAGCCATAATTTAAAATCAAGATACTATTAGCGAACAGTAGGAATTGTGTTTAAGTCCAGTTAAGTATTATCATAAACCATTATATATGGGGGAGAAAATCTGTTTCAATCCCGTTAAGTAATATCATAAGCCATCAAAATAGTAGGCAGTGTGTTTTCAAAGACGTTAAGTATAATCGTAAACCATTATATATGGGGGAGAAAATCAGTTTCAATCACGTTAAGTAATATCACACAACATCATAAATGGTAGGAAGTGTGTTTCAAACGCGTTGAGTATTATCGTAAACATTATATATGTGGAGAAAAACTGTTTCATTCCTTCTAAGTAATATCACACGCCATCATAAATGGTAGGAAGTGTGTTTCAAAACCGTTAAATATTATCATAAACCATTATATATGGGCGAGAAAATCTGTTTGAATCTCGCTAAGTAATATCATAAATAGACATAAATGTTAGGAAGTGTGTTTTAAACTCGTTATATATTATCATAAACCTTTATATAAAGGGAGAAAATCTATTTCAATCCTACTAAGTAATATCATATTCCATCATAAATGGTAGAAAGTGTGTTTCAAACGCGTGAAGTATTATCGTAAACGATTATATATGGGGGAGAAAATCTGTTTCAATTCCGCTAAGTAATATCATAAATAATCATAAATGGTAGAAAGTGTGTTTCAAACGCGTTAACTATGATCATAAACCGTCATATAAAGAGAGAAAATCTGTTTCAATCACCCTAGGTAATATCATGAACCATCATAAATGTTAGGAAGTCTATTTCAAACGCGTTAACTATGATCATAAACCATTATATATGGCGAAGAAAATTTATTTCAATCGAGCTAAGTTATATCATAGA